AAAAGACAGCAGGAAAAAAGAAAACCAAATATGAGATGGACTGATTCCATAAAAGAAGCTATAAGCATGGGTCTACAGGGGCTGGGCAGGGCTGTTGAGGGCAGGGCTGCTGAGGACAGGACACTGGGGACCATCACTCACTTTTAGGGTCACCAGGAGCAGGAGTCTGCACAATGGCATGTAACACAAATACAGGACCTACATTAAATCAGTAGTTTAAGAGTAAACAACTTTATTTTTTTAATATATTACTAAGATTATTTTTATGTTTCTTCTCACTTTTTAAAGATTTTATTGATTTATTTTTAGAGAGAGGGGAAAGGAGGGAGAAAGAGAGGGAGAGAAACATTAATGTTGATCAGTTGTTATACACGCCCCCAACCAGGGACCCCACTGGCCACTCAGGCATGTGCCCTGACTGGGACAGGAATGGGAGCCCAACCAGCAACCTTTCAGTCTTCAGGCCAGTGCTCAATCCACTGAGAAACATCAGTCAGGGCAAGAGTACACAATTTGAAATAATCATATTTCAACTACTTAAAAGGAAGTAATTACTGTGTAACTACGTGTAACTTGGAAGTAGTATTTAGTGGCCTGGCTACAAAAACTGACCATCTGTATTTTGAATAACAGGTCTTCAGTTAATTCCTATGAAAATTATCAATAGGTTGAATTATTAAATAAACATTAAATACAAGTTCAAATCGCATTAAATTTAAAACTACAACAATTAAAATCTCATTACTTAAATTACAAAAGCTCAGTCATTTAAGGTAGTAAAGTACAAATGTCTCAAAATGGAGTATGACCTCTTGTTGACAGTCATCGCAAATTTCTTCCAGTGGCTCAGCAGGTAAGGAATTCATGGAATTTAGGTCTTCAAGGTCTAGTAAGCACTGTGGTTGGTTAAACCACCCAGTCAACACCAAATTATGTGGGGCAATGCCTGATGATTATCTAACTCCTTTGACCCCTCCCACCTTCTCACTACTTCACAACTGCCATTACTTCTAAATGGTAAAAGGAGATAGGTAAGAAATTTATAAATATTGTAAATTAGTTATTAGAAATGCAAGAAAAACTACGGTCAAGAATGCGGGTAAACTGCAGTTTAAATAAAGCTTCTGGATTACCCAAGGATTTCTTTTAATCCACATAATCCTCCTCCTGAAGGCATGGATAATCAGGATCACATTTCCCTTGAAGGCAAATGAGCCTTTGCTTGGTGGTCTCCCAAGAGGCCAGAGCACCAAAGGATGACAGAGTGAGCAATGTGGCAGTTCCTCCAGGATTTCTGGGCTGCAGACCTAGCTCTAGCAATACCACGATATAGGGGACTGTGCAGGTTAACATTATTTCAGCAGTAAATACTCACAGTTAAAGGGTCAACTAATAATGACCTCAGGTGATCTACTTTAAATATTCAAGGAAATAAGGATATAGACATTCTTGACAAAGAGGCGGGGCAAAGATATAAATAAATCCCAAAGCCAAGATTTTCCAGGGGAAGGATTTGTGAATTTTTTGACAAAATGATGGAATTTCTAGGTTAACTTCTTTAGGCCAGAACCAAGTTAATAAGATAATGAAAAGCTGCATTTGCAATATATTTTACCTATATAGGTAACATATTCTCCCTCTTCTGGTAAAGTTGAATACCTAAAACCCTAAGTGCTGGCATAAAATGGATAGGCTAGTAGAAAGTGACAATGCTAAAGACAGAGCAGGGAGAAAAGCTGAGACTTCATAACATTATCCTTTGCAAAATTAAACTCTACTTTACCCCATAATAGCAGTAAATGGGAATTCTGGGTTTACTAAAGAGAGATTGGAGAACATGTGATGATGTTCATTATGATTTTATCACAAACTTAGCTCCCAAATTTGTTAGACGGTCCCTATATAACCTGATATTATGAGACCTGCATCACTTGACAGGCTCCAAAAATTATGCAATAATTTTTTTTAATGTACTGACTGGGGTAGCTCAGTGGGTTGGGCATCATCTTGCAAATTCAATTCCCAGTCAGGGCACATGTCTAGGTTATAGGCCAGGCCCTTGTTGGGGGTGTGCAAGAGGGAATGTTTCTCTCACACATCGATGTTTCTCTCCATCTTTCTCCCTTCTTTCCCCTCTCTCTAAAAAATAATAAAATCTTTTAAAAATATGTTTTTTAACTTAAAACCTTTATAAACATTCCTCCATCTACAAGATTAAATACTTTATTGCATGTAAACCCTTTATGTTGAAAATTGGAATTCTCTCACTTATATTTCTGAAGAAAATCAACAATTAGGTTGATCAATTATCCACTCATTCTTGTTCTGACATAATTTATACATGAGAAATTTTCTCTTTAAAAAACAACTAAGACCAAGTGTTAAGAATTGGGGGGAGGTGACTGCAGAGGGGTAACATGCATGTGTCAAAATTGATAGGACTGTACATGAAAAAAGTGAACTTTAATGTAAAATGTAAAATTTTTTAAATTCAGCACTGGCTGGTGTGGCTCAGTGGGCGAAACAAAAGGTCTCCGGTTCAACTGCCAGTCAGGGCACAGGCCTGGGTTGTGGACCAGTTCCCTTGTTGGGGGTATGAGAGAGGCAACCAGTTGATCTATCTTTCACACATCAATGTCTCCCTCTCTCTCTCCCTTCCCTTCTCTCTAAAAATAAATAAGTAAAATCTTTTTAAATTTCTTTTTAAAATTCAATGTCACTCCCCTTTTAAAAATGTCTTTTTATTAAATTATCTTTAATCACCTAAAACGAATTATGTCTATTAATACAGGAAAAAAGGTCTAAATTAGAGACATTCAATCTGCTTTGTCAGTGCAACTAATAGCTGACACACAATACAGTACAAACCCAATCATACATCTAGTCCCTCTCATTTTCCCTCTCTTAACTAAAGGCTTGTGACTCAGAATTATTTAACCTGAAAATAATATAAAAGCTACCATAGAATACATGGGAAAACAACAACTGAAAAAGGAAGTGCATCAGTTTGAAGCCACTCTAAAGCACAAAGCTGGACCCAATGGTAGAAAAGCCCATTAAGACGGACCTTAATTATGAGAAAGTAAAATAAAAAGGCCTCTTCAAGAAAAAGGTTGGTTTCCTCTCCCACAAAGTGTTCTAGTTGGCACTGGACTACGGTAGGCTCATAGACACTCCTTAGAAAAATGCCCATATATATCAGGGAATGGAGAGGGGACAGAGGGGAAAATACCCAAGTATCAAAATTTGGGGGGCATCTATAATAGCATCAACAACACAAAACAATCAGGGGAGGGGGTGAGAAGTAAGAGGCCTGGTAAAGAAGTTGTCTCACTCAAGCCACAACACCTGTTATTTTCCCTAATCTTCTTTCTTCTCTTCTACTAAGTGTTCAGTCAGTATTATTCTTCTAGTCTAGTATGTCCTCCTCCAACATGTATTTTTCCTATATTTCTACTTTGACAATGGAATTGTACACTTCTCATTTTTCCATACCCTTCTTTGTTCACATACTGTTAGATAGCTTTCAGAGCTAGACTCAAGCAGAGGAAAAAAATCCTAACTTATTTGCCTCTTTCTACAACATGACAAAGCTGTCAAATGAGCAGTTAACAGATACCAAATAATAGGGATTTACCCCCAAGATATGGTAAGCTATAACTTCAAATCAAATGATTTAGAGGAGCCCTGACCAGTGTGGTTCGGTGGGTTGGGTGTCACCCCTCGAAGCAAAAGGTCACCAGTTTGATTCTAGTCAGAGCACAAGCCTGGGGTGGGGGCCAGGTCCCTGGTTTGGGGCCTGTGAGAGGCAATGGATCAATGTTCTCTCCCTCTCTCTTTCTCCCTTCCCCTCTCTCTAAAAAGAAAATCTTTTTTTAAAAAAATGGTTCTGAGGATATATATGTATATGCACACATTTGCAAGAGGTGGGGGAAGGAAAGTCTCAGGTTTGTTGTTTTTTTAAATAGTGTAATTGAAATAAAAAACATCTGCTCTCTAAAAATCCCAATGCTACCCTACAGGATTTGTTATGCAATATTATTATAGTCCAAACTACCACCTTCTAGAACCAATCCCCTGCAGTCAGGACCAAAATTCAATGCCTCCAAAAAGCTGTAATACAAAGGTAGAAAGTTTGGTTCCTTATCTGTAAAAATATTAATGATCCAGTACACAATGAACAAATACACATTTGTTTTCTTATCAGTAGCTTAAGGTCTAAATGCTTAGCCTTTTTCAGAAGTACAGGATGTTAATGAAGACTGAAGGATTAAGGGTGTCTAACAAAATAACTCTTGGCCCTCCGATTACCTCATTTGCACAAATCTAGGACCAAAAAAGTATAAAGTGTGTTCAGTACATGTTATACTTGGAATTAGAGTATTTTATAACTTATTTCATTCACACATTTATTCATTCAATTAGTTAAATGTTCCAATCACTGCTCTAGTTACTGAGAAAAGCCCAGGAAGACTGACAAGGCCCCTGCCATCAGACAACTTACGGTAGGAGGAAAAGGTCATAAACAAATGACAAAAAAATAAGCACAATAATTAGCTGATAATACAGATAAAGAGTCTGGATTTACTTGTAATAAGAAGCTACTAGAGCAGGAAAGTAAGTAAAGATCACTCTGATTGCTGTTTGAAAATGGACTGTAGGAGAGCAAGGTGAGAGGCAAAGAGGCCAGTTAGAAAGCTCCTATCTAGGAAGAACTGGGGTGGTGGCAATAAAAATGAACTAAAGTAAAAATATTCAGGATATATTTTGGAGGTAAAATTGACAGATTTTGCTGCTTATTTGTGTGGTGGAGAAGGAGTGACGCAAAAGAGTGCTTTGAGATTGGACCCCAGACCTTTCACTTAAGCAGGGTGAAGGAGATGGGCAGAGGGGTGCTTTTCTGAAATGGAGACTGTGGGGAAAGGAATAGGTTGAAGAATGGAAATCAAGAGCTCTACACTTGAACATGTTTAAGATGCCCTCAGACAAAATAAGTTATCATGTCGGTAAGTAGAAGAAATCTGAAGTTCAAAACCTAAGATAAAAATCTAAGAGTCAACAGTACCGTTGATAGTAATTAAACCACAGGGCAGGCATAATAGGATCATCAGAAAGGGAGTAAAGGAAATTATAGTATCTTGGAATAGCTTTTATACAGGGCAGGGCAAAAACAGGTTTACAGTTGTTTGTATGGAAAACAATACAATAATAATACAAGGATAAACTTTCATCACGTACTCACTACTGTAAACCTACTTTTGCCCCACCCTGTATTATACACCTCTCTTAGCATCACCCTCCCAACCTGTGGGTAACATACACATTCAAACTCCATAAATTTAAAAAAAAAAAAAAAAAGGGAGGCCCAGAAAGGTTGAGTGGCATCCCCAAAGCCCCAGATATTTGAGACTGGCATCCAGGCCTAGAACCAAGATGTGACTTCTGACCCCCAGCCTTTTCACAGTGGCTAACAGTGCTTCTACTGTTGGGTTCACCAGCCTAAAGTTAGACAACAGGGAAAATCATAATTCAGGAAGAACATAATTGGGCTACAGGGAAGAATATCATTTAAATTACAAGGTTCATTTTTAATTATTTTCTACATATTTTGTTCACATTCATAAAGTAAGTTCTATCAAAAGCCTGTATGAATGAGTTTCTAGGAAAAGCAGAAAATGCAGGTAAGACGTGCAAAATGGCAATAAATCAAAACTCAACTCAATTTCCTACACTTCTGAAGAGCAACCTGAAGGTAAAAGACCTTCATCAGAGTGTGAACAAGGGGGTGTAAAACAAAATTTTTTGTTTTTAGTCATTTTTGCTTTCATAAATACACTTCTAATTTAAAGCTAAGTTACATGCCTGCCTCCTGGAACTAGGTTAAGATCTTTATTCTGAACACCTATGCTGCATTACGACTTAACCAGTTCTGCTTTTACCATAACAATCTTAAGAGCATAGCATAAAAACCCCCAAATGATTAATGAACTGCTGAGAATTCTGACTCGTTGGAGATGATTTAATTAGGAATCATATTTCCAAACATCCATTCAGTGCTTCAAAATAAGTACTCATCTAATTTAATTATGATGACTTCACCAGACAGTAACACTGCCCACAATCATGTTTACAAAAGCACTTGTCACTCCCTTCAGATGTAGCAATGCAGAAAAAGGAGTCTGTTTCCATATTCCTCGTGTGTTTACACTCCATAACAAGTGACAGAGTTTAAGTGTCACTTAAGATTATTTAAACAGCAAAGCACTTCAAGTTTGTGTCCCCCCCATCTTCCATACTAAGCAAAGCCTAAATTCGCCAGGTTTTGTTTCAGCAACAGTTCACTAGGTCTATGACACAGATATTCCCAAGCAACTGAAGCAAGAGACTACAGTATTCTAGGATAAGACTACAGGAATCTTTCTATTGCCACTCCAACATTAAGCAATTCCAGCGGGGGTTACGGCAACACCAGAGTAGTTCAGAGATAATGTGCCCCCCAAACGTACACGCGCAGTCAGGTATTAGCAAGAGCTGACAAAATGATGCACCCGGGTTGCTAATAGCCTACCATTTACCGATCACTTGCCGTTCCGTCTTGCACACACCCTCCTAGCCTAGGCTCACAACAAGTCTGCGAAGTACGTGTTATTATTCCCACTAACGAATCAGGACTTTGGCCCAAGGCCCCAGGGCTGATCAGTGGCGGCGCTAGGATTTGAAAACACGACCATATTCCAACAGTTCAGGATCCCCGCCCCTAAAAGACACTTCTGCGCAAAAAGGCACCCGAGAGTCGGGACGCTCCGAGGCTGACAGCGTAGACGCAGGGGGCTAGGGCACCTCCTCTCCACAGGGGATCGCCTCAGGAGCACGACCAACGGCGCCGGCGGCCCGAGTCGCCCAGCCGCGTCTCTGCCGCGGGAGGCCGGGGAGCGCTGCTCACCTTGGAGGAACCAGGAGGGCCGCGGTCGAGCGAGGTGCACCCGCGGGCCGGCGGCCGGGAGTCCGCCGAGCCGGGAGGAAGTGCGGCGCGGGCAACGAAGTCGCCCGCTGCGGCCAGCAAGAGCTCGCCGCCGACCCGCTCGGGGGCACCTCAGCAGGCTTGCCGAGACCGCGCCGCCCCTCAGCCTCTCCGCATATCCGGGTCCCGCTCCGCCACACTCACCTGCCTGGCGCTCCGCTGCCGCCGCCTCCGACGCCGGCTCCAAGCTCCGGGTGCGCGGTCAGCAGCCCAGACCACCGCGATTGCCCAGCTGCGGGGCCCCCATCCCGCCTCTCTCAGTTACCGCACGCTTGCCCCGCACGGCGCTACACCATGCCGCCGCCGCCGCCGCCGCCGCCGCCGCACCGACCGACGGAGTACGCGCGCGTTGCTTCTATGGTCGCGCGCGCGCGCGCGCGCGTGCGCGACAACCGCGCCGGCCTCCCTGCAGCCGTCATCCCGCCCCGCGCGCGGGTCAGGCCAATCCCCGACCCGGCAGCTCCTGCCGCAGACCTACGGGACGGGCCAGGCGGGGCCGGGAGAGAAGCCACTCTGCCCGCTAGTCCTCTCTAGCTGCCCGTCCGGCAGCACCGCTTTTGGAACGGTATGCTGCTGCCCGAGGACCTTGGGATAGGGAATGCCCAGCAAGCAGCTTTTCAGGAGAAACCCCACCACCTGCCCCGACCTTGGCAGCCCCATCCCGAGAAACCTCTCTCTTCCTGGGTTTCCTTGCTGGCCATCTCTTCCCAGTTCCTCTCCCTAATTCAGTTCTGCGGCAGTGAACGGGTTCCTAGGTCCCTGAGCGCAGGCAGCACTTTGCTTTTACCCCTTAGCCTCCGTCACTCTGGCTCTGAGGATGGGAACGCTAGGTCAGCTGCCCTACAGCTGGCCCTTCATTCCCTGCAGTGTCAGTGGTCATAAAAGAAAAAAGTACAGCCTTCCAAGTCCAAGATTAATTTTTTGTATGTTCATTTTTGGAATAACAACAGCTAACATATGCTGCAGAGCCCTATGGTTTATCGAGCCTTTTCTCATACCTTATCTCCTGTTATCTTTGACCTCAACCAGGAAATTTCATGGCCCTCTTAGTGGCACACTCAAATTTCACCTACTGAAAACCAAATTTTAACTTACTGTAATGCTACTATTTATAAAGTTATTGTAACTTACTACCATAATCACTCAGGCCAATAGTTGAATAATCTGGAATAGAATCTAGAAGTATAGAACCTATTATAAAGCAAAGGTGGCAAATGAGCCAGTGATAAAGGAATAATTTGTTTGATAAATGATCTTGGCTTAATTGACTCTCTATTCATAATAAGTAAAAACAGAACCATGCCATATTAAAAAAATCCCAGAAGAATTAAAGAGAAAATATACACATTAATTCCAGAAGCATTAAAGATATAAAATACACAAATCAAAAATTTAGAGGAAAAAGGTTTTTAAGATTTTATTTACTTATTTTAAGAGAGAGGGGAAGAGAGGGAAAAAGGGAGAGAAACATCGATCTATTGCCACCCCCACTCACCCCCAGCCTGGGACCACAACAGCAACCCAGGCACGTGCCCAACCGGAATCGAACTGCTAACCCTTCCGCTTGCGGGACGACGCCCATCCCACTGAGCCACACCAGTCAGGGCTAGAGGAAAATTTTTAAAGAATGGTAATATCACTTTAATGAGGGGGACATTTAAGCAAGACAGGAAGCCAAGAATCATTACAGAAAAAATAAAAACATTTGTCTCCATAAATATTTTTAAAGTTTTGCATGACATCACAATCACAAGTTTAAAAAAAAAGAAAAAACAATAGACGGAATAGAACTACACAAAACATATGGCAAACACATTGTATCTTAACATAAAAGAATTTCTATAAATGGATTTTTTTAAAGCCAAATAGCTCAATGATTTAAAAACATGGGCAAGGTATACAAGCAGGCAATTAATGGAAGATTAAATGCAAATTTAAAATGTTTATTTCACTAATAGTCATGCAGTTTTTTACTCATTTGATTGTCAAACATTAACAAAAGCAATCAATGATACATATGGAAACAAGCCCTGATATGATGGGAATGTAAATTGCCACAAACTCAGGGAATATCTATTAAAATTTAAAATACACATACCTACTTGTTAACTAAAAATACATTAAGTCATCCGGATACACCAAAGTTCCGCATTCAATCCTTGGTCAGGGCACATACAAGAAGCAACCAATGAATGCATGAAAAAGCGGAACAACAAATCGATATCTCTCTCTCTCTCTCTCTCTCTCTCTCTCTCATCAATACGTAAGTTTAAAAGAAAAGAAAAAAACTATAGAAATTGCCAGTTGGAAGGATATACACAGCGATACCATCGTGGGTTTAATGTTGATCCTCCAAAGATACGTCTGCCTGGCACCTATGAACATAGAGCCTTATTTGGAAATGGTATCTTTAGAGATGTAATTAAGAAATAAGATCATCCTAGATATAAGGTAGGTCATACATACACTCACAGGTGTCCATGTAAGAGAAAAGCAGAGGGAAATTTGAGATACAAAGACACAGGGATGAAGATTGGAAGAATGAGGCAGAGGTGGGAATGCTGCGTCTATAATCCAAGAATGCCAAGGATTGCTGACAGCTGCCAGAAGCTAGGAGAGGAGCATAGAAGGGATTCTCCCTCAGAGCCTCTGGAAGGAATGGTGCCTTGATTTCAGACTTCTGGACTCCAGGGCTGTAAGAGAATACATTTCTGTTATTTTAAGCCACCCAGTTTGTGGTAATTTGTTAAGGTAGCCAAGGGAAACTAATACAGATGCTTATTGTATTGTTTATAGTGCGAAACAAACACAAGCAAACTGGAAACAACCTGATTATCTATAGGAAATGGAATCCATGAGTCAATTGTACTGCCTCCACAACTGCAGAATATTATGCAACGATGAAAATGAGTTAGATCTGTTTGTATTGACCCAGAGGGATATCCATGATATATTGCTAACATGGAAAATGCACTTTTTAGAGTGACGAAGAGTGGTATGATCCTATTAGTATATTGCTGAGTGTACATCTATATACTCATGTGAACAGAGAGAGAGAGGATTGGAAGAATTTACACGAGGCCAATCACACGGGATACCTCAGAGAGCCGAAAGAAGAGGGAGTAGGTAGAAGAGAGTTCTTTTTCTTTAGAAAGCTTTCAATTATCTTACTTGTTATAAGCAGTACTTATTCTTTTAATCTAATAAATGCAGTATTTTTTTTAAAAAATTGTGTTGAATTTTTAAATCGTGGCTAAAGTTGTAAACATACAAAGAGGGTCCTATCTCTCCAGTTTCAGAGGATTCATTGTTCTCCATGACTCCCACTTCTCTACACTGAGTTCTGAGCTATATTTTCAATACATACTCTTTTGGTGTTTTTCCCCTATTTTCCTTTTTTTCCAAGTACTTCTGAGTACTTCATAGATTCACAGAATTCTTTCATTTTTCTTTTTAAAATTTGATTGCTTTCATTTCATTGTATAAGTAATATATTCACATGGTTTGGAATCCAAAATGTACAACTAAATTTGCAATAAAGCCTCTCTCCCAGACAGCTAGGAAGCTCTCCTTACAGACAAGCAATGTTGTCATTTTCTTTTTTTCTTTTTATCCTTACCTGGGGACATTTTTTTTCATTGCTTTTTGATGCAAGAGAGAAGCATCAATTGGTTGTCTCCAGTGTACACCCAGATCCAACATGCAACTTAGGCATGTGCCCTGACTGGGAATTGAACCCTCAACCCTTTGGTTATAGGACAATGCTCCAACCAACCAAGCCACACCAGCCAGGGCTGGTAATTTTCTTCAGTATCCTTTCAGAAGTTTTGCATGCATATATAAGCAAATACAGATATATTCCCCCTTTTGTTTACACAAATGAAAGTGCTTGTTTATACTTTCCCCCCCTACATAATATACACTAGTTTGTTTTATATAAGTAGAAATAGGTTCTCTGTATTCTTTTAAAAATTTTATTGATGTATAGAATACATACAAAAAACTGCACGTCATAATTTCTTCACATATTAAACACAGCTGTGTAACTAGTTCCTAAATCAATAAAGAGAACATGATGAACATCTCAGAACCCAATAGTGACCCCGTTCAGTCACTGCCCTGCCTCCAGGGGTAGCCACTATCCCAGATTCTAAAACCAGAGATTCCCTTTTCTTGTTTTTAAACTTCAATTAAGTAGATTCATACAGTGTATGCTCTTTTTGTGTTTGTTTTCATTTGTTCTACATTTCCTCCACATTGTTTCAATATTCTTACACTACTGCATGTGACAGTAGTTTGTTCACTCTTTGCTATATAGTATTTCATTATTGTCTGTATTCTATTTTATGGCTATGTAATGTTTCACTGTAAAGATACACTATAATTTATTTACCCTGTACTTTATTGATGGATATTTAGAATGTTTCCAATCTTTTGATATACAAACAATGCTGCAAAAAAACAACCTTGAATTTGTATCATTTGGCACATATGCAAGTGTAACTACAAAATAGACTCTTAGAATTACTGGGTTAACAGTTATAGATAGGTATTTGCAATTTTGAAGAATATTACCAAATTACCCTCTATACAAGATGGGCCCTTTATACTCTTGCCAACAGAGAATTTGAGAGCTTTTTTTCTTAGAATTTTAGAGCTTGGAGCTTAGAGACTTAGAAATCACATTGTACAGCCCACTCAACTTACACAGAGAAAAATTGAAATCCTTAAGAGTGAAAAGACTTGCACAAAGCCAGAGAGTAAGTTAGTTATCATCCCCAGATTCTGAAGGAGAAGGCTTGGATGTTGGTCTCCGGTATCAGAGAGAGCCAACAAAGCCTCAAACATCCTGTCCTGCCCACAGCTATTGGCATGCTGCCCCTCTCTCCCCCCTCCTCCAACTGTCTTCAAAGACCAGCACAAAAAGGCCACACACACCAGGGCCACCAAACATGGGAGGGAGGAGACAGAAAGGGAAAGGCAGATGGAGGGCAGAGGGGAAGGTGGAAGGGTAAGCAGCAACCTCTTGAAGAAAGATAAACTCTGCAATAGAAAAGAAAACGGGGAACTGATAAGGGGGGCAGTGATGTTGGAGAGAAGAGGAAAGGCAAAAAGGCATGGATTTCTGTCCTTTTTCCAGGCAAGAAAAACATTTTCACAAATGCCTGATTATCAGTAATATCACTTAGCAATATAAAATTCTGGCTTTAGATAGGATATTTGGAGTAAAGTTACCTGGTCTTTTCACATTCTTCTCTTTTATCTACTGCCTCTCTGGAACCAAGATGTGTGTCTAACATATAGTAGATGCTTAGTAAATATTTTTAAATTTATTCATTGATTTTAGAGAGAGAGGAAGGGAGGGAGAGAGACACCAATTTATTGTTCCACTTATTTATGCATTCATTGGTTGACTTTTGCATGTGTCTTGACCAACGTTCAAACCCGCAACCTTGGTATAACAGAATGACACTCTAACCAACTGAGCTGCCCTTCCAGGGCTTATTAAATATTTTTATATGAATGAATTATAT